TTTATCATGCGATTCTCTTCAACATGCTTGCTGGAATGTAACTGTGGTCCCTTGTCACATTGTGTTCTTCCAGGCATGGAGAGAAGAAGAGACCACGACTCTGCCCAAGCTCGGTAATTCTGTAACATGTCGGACAGGTTTGAGCATACAGCTCACATTCTCCTTCTTCTCTCCCCTCCTTTCGCATAATCATTCTACATCAACATGATTTGCAATTGTGTCTCTCTCCATCGACGACACGACTGGACGTTTCTCCGCCAAGAAAGTCTTTCAAGCAACAGCACTCAACTACAACCCCTTTTAGGAAGCTGCTTCTGTCAACAAACCGTCATAATTTGTCAATGAAGCAAGAGCAATGGTACAGTAGCAGTAGCATTACATGGAAGCGCAACAAATGGAATCCAAAAGATCCCGCCATCCATTCTCGCCAGTGAGGGATGGAATTCTGGGAACATGGCACATTTTCGCCCATGTATGTACACAGCATCCCTACTGTAACATACACTGCTATCTACAATTCCCATCTCAATTTGCAATCCTTCGGTGCAACACTGCACTGCATCTCCATGTCGACACAATATCTCAACCAAGGATAATATCGCCGACAAGGGACAGGAAGGACGGGGAGGCGAGTCAAAATGGCAACAGAGTCAGACGGGACGGGACGAAACCGATGCTGGGCATGCCCTTCCCGGTTTTTTTTTTGTTATGTTGAGAAGGGTCCTGCATGTCACTTCTATCTTCTCCGGGAAGGTGTTATCCATGCTGGATCATGGATCTTGTTTGGGCTCAATCTTGGCCAAGGTCAACGCCACGAATGTTGGCCAGAGGGTCTCCTCCAAGATCAAAACGACAGCGAAGTAGGCTGGAGGGTGGAGGCCGTCTCATTGCCACCAGTGCCACTACTACACTACTAGTAGGCCATGTTATGAGGGAATTGGATGGAGTGAGGACCTTGATGGATTCAACATCGGTTAGGGGGATGTCCAGTTCTGCAGCCAGAAGTCTTTGTGTCGTTTGTGAAGACATCACATATCCGGTCATTGGGGGCTTGGACGATGAGTCCAAGTTCAGATCTCAAGTCGATTTCCGATCACTTGCAGAAGTCGTAGGTTCCAAGGCAGAATGATCTCCCGTCGCACAACAGGCGGTATACGTCGTGATACCGGCAGTTAAAAAACCACGGCAAGAGAGAGCGGTAACCTGCGTCTGCTAACTACAGAGACCAACTATCAAAGCCACCTATCACCAAGACAGACAAGACAAACTGCAACGTCGAACAACGCACGCCCGACAATTTTGACCGCTGGTAAAGACAATATACCGATTTCAGTTCCGTGTGAGACAGAGCAGTGTTTGGAAGGAGACACATGAAACTCGCCGTTGAAACAAGTAAACAACCTCACCCCCAGCATAACCAACCCCGTGGTCACTTTATCCAACAATCATTGGACGTTCATCACGAACACTCCCTACCCCTAAACTACCTGGCCTTGCCATCTACCGCGCGCCAAATATGGCAGTTCGTTCTCCTGCGACTTCCGAGATCGGATGTCCTACACTACACAGTCCATCCAGGCACAAATCTCACACATGGTGCAGTGGTCCAATGTGAGAACGGACAGACACATCTTTGGAGTCACTGTCCCGAGACGATGAGGCTCTTCCGCCGCATGCGCCGCCGGCTGGGGCCCGCCCAACCCGCCAACGACGGACTATCCCGCTCGGCGATGGCGTTTTTTGAGTCCTGGACGTGCTAACCTATTGCAGTGCCAATCCCGAAAGCGAATCAGGCAAGAAAAAGAAAAGAAAAAAACAAAACACGGCAGTCAAGACGACAAACCAGGGAAGAGAAGAAAAGATAGGGGCCACGCCGGCATGTGCATGGGACTTGTGTGTTAACGAAGACCGTTGGCGCCACGGCTCTCCCCGACGTCCGGCCGTTTGTTCTAGAAGGCCTTTTTTTTTTTCATTTGTTTTTTGATACCGACAGGAGAGCAAAAGGTGATGCGATGTTTGCTTGTTCTTCTTGCTTCCGTGCATCCGTAGTAGTCTGGTGTGCTGCGTAGAACCGACCAGACGGATGGACGACGACGGCATCGCCGAGTTTCCATCCGCCGTTGTCCGTGCTTTGATACTTCCCGTCTATCATTCATTCCAGTCCATCGATATATCCGGCTTTACTATTCATGGCAACTGATGATTTCATTCCCATCATTGCCACCGCTGGCCGAGTAGCATCGGCCAGAATCGGCTGGCCAAACACCGCCTTCGAAGCGAGCAGCAGCGCCACGATGCAGTTCAAGGTACAGTAGGAACGAACGTGGGTCGTGGGGGGAGACGGGAAGGAAGCAGGGAATGAGGATTGTGGAGGAAGACAAGTACAGACGCTATCAAGTGACAATTTCAGCCAGTGTCCCCAGTGGGCACTAGCTAGGCATGCCACTCATCAAAGGAAGAAAAAAACCGTTAGGTGAGTCTAGAGATTGCTGTCGGTCACAATAATAAACGGGAATAACAAACGGGAATACATACGATAATGAGACCACCATTACCCTACTTCAATGGTGTCCGGACTGATTGTCAAGGACTGCTGGAAAGCAGGGAGTCAAGGGGTTTGTCTTCAGTCTTGTCAGAGACGGGAAGTCCCCCGTGGGGAAAGTGGACTAGGAAATTTCGAACATTGTTTCTGCCTATGTCTCGCCTCCTTACGCAGCAAATGCCCTGTTCCTGGACAATATTGTACACTAACCCAGACGACAACATGCGGGTTGCTACCTCTATCGATCAGGAGACCCAGCCGTTACGTTTTGAATGAAATGTATGATCCATCAGCCTTCTTCCCCCCTTTCCCATGAAACCAGGCTCGGAAGATACTCAACGGGCAGCGAAAAGTGCATCATGACACCGGCCGAGATAGGCGTAAAATGCTAGGAGGGATCGGTTTCGAATGCAGCATGACAGAACAAGGATCAATCTTATACCATTGACTTCTTGGGCGGCCTTTTACATACCCTCAACGGCTTTCAACGCCATCTTCATCCGAGTGCACGTGTATGTAGCCATCGCCATTCTTCAAGCTTGCATTTCTTACTTCTTGCTTCTTTATCATGTGGCAGGTAGAGGTGATTCTCGATTACGCCGTTTGTCCGCCCTTCGAAATTGACACTTGAATTGAGTGCTCGATTGGACTCGACCGTGGAACCGACAGCCAAGCAAGACAACAACAGACTGAACTGAACCTAACCAAAGCAGGCAACAACCGAGGCAACAAAGCTGAGCTACACTACACTAGCTTCCACTCCAAAATACATTAGCCCAAGGCTACCAGTTAGTGTAGTCAGTTCCACCGGGAGGGTCTTCGATAAGTCGTCCTTGGGTCTAGTGAATCGCTATCAATCGCGTACTACGGAAATACACGTTCGGATTTATGATTAACTGATCTGCACCACTGCGCTAACACACGCATCGACCACCACACTTTTCAAATTTCAATATCGGTTGAGCCCTTCCCTTTTTTTGTGCTTTGGGGTCTCCACGTTTTTTTTTTTACCGAGAGATGTCTCCCCGTCCGTCAGTCGGTCAGTCAGTCAGTCAGTTTGCTCGCTCACTCGCTCGCTACACTACTCGTTAGAGGATCGGCTCGTCTCGTCTCGCTCCACGTCGTCGTTTCCTCGTTGTGCGGTCTCAAGGGTGCTTGCTGCTTCATCGTGATGATGCTCATTCAACCTCCACTCATCTCGGGAAGGGAGGGGGCATCAAGGGACTCGGACGTTGGCGAAGGGAAGCAAGAGGAGAGAGGCTGGTGTAGTGGAGAGTGAAGAGAGCTTTCCACTACACTACATCAGCAGAGTCTTGGTTTTTGGCATACTACTTACATACACTACACACTACAAAAAAAAAAAACGGGTGGGTAGGGTGGAAGGGAAGGAAAGGGAAAGGGGAAAGAAAAGGGCCAAGACAGAGAGACAAAAGAGACAGGGACAGAGAGAGAGAAGTCGTGGAGCAAATCAGATGGCTTTTTCGGCGCACTTGAGCCGAGAAAATTTGGCCAAGTTTGGAATATCATTGCATGATTTTGCTAGTGTAAGTCTAGGGTACGCCAGTGATACCAAGGGAGAGAGAGAGTGTGTGGGACCGTGGGGGCTTCTTGTTTACCAGTCCCTAGCAGTATCTGCGGAGTATGTATGTGAATGCCTTCAAATCACAAAATGTGTGCTGCCTTTGGGGGGCGCGGTCCTCCCCTCCCCTGACCCAGCTAGGGTAGCTGGCAGGTTGGGTAGCTTCGATAGACCTGGTTATGTTAACGTTACCTCTAAACCGTCCGTTTCTTATTTTTCTTATTTCTACCCTGGAAACCCTGACAGTGGCAGTGACACGGACATCCTCCTACAGTAGAATCCCCAGAAACTGCATGTAATATCAAGCACTATGGAGAACACTCAGAGGTTATGAGATAAGTGAAGTATATGCAAGGAAGGAGCTGAGTCATGGTAGAAACAGGTGTTCATGGACCCGCTCAGGTATGCACCTAGAGGTCATACCATGGTAAACTATGAGATATATGCAATTTCTGATGTATGCAGTTGCAGGGGTTTGCACTGGTGTATGGTGATGCTTTCCCCTGCTTGCCGTCTGTGCCCTATCATCATCTTCCCCGATGGTCTTCGGGGTTGAAGTTGGGGGCTTGGTGGGGGTTCTTTTTCGTCCTTTATCAAAATTGGTCCGGACGGCAATGACGTCTCCGTAATTTGACCGTGGGGTCCGGTCAACATCTGGGGCACCAGAAGGGTTGCATTCGACATCCTTGCCTTTCTTCATCTCGTCGACTTGACGATGGAGCATCTTCGGCAAACTTAGCCCAAAGGAGACTTTTCAAGCTGGTCATGGTATGACCAGGCGTGGAGTTGAAGGAATTTTGCAGTTGAGGCTAAAGTTATAGTCTGGTGGATATAGCGTAGCAGTCGACAAGGACGATCCCCTAATAAAAGACTCCAAAGTCACCTTTTTCGTGCTAAGACAAAGATGGAACGTTTACCGTTGTTACACGAGTTTTTGGCGGAAATAGCATGGGAGAGAGACGTGATGAAGAGAAAATGCTACCGTGATGAAGTGTGCTGAGATGAAGCAGCTGCAGATTCATCAGAAGGACCGGCTACGGTAACCATTCGTCTTCAGTCTCTTCCTCCTCATAGCTCTCCTCATCTTCGGAGTCGGGCAATTCTGGGCCCTTGTCGTCCTTCTTAACTTGATCAGAATTGCCGCGTCCGGCTCTTCTCTTTCTTGGCTCTGGATGTCGACGAAGAACGTTTTGACGCTGCAGGCTTGCCTCCACAGATTTCACTCGTCGCTTCAGAGCTGTAAACTCAGCTCGCGATGGTACTCCAGGCAGGGAGCTGCCTTCGTCGATTTCGGGGTAGAGATCGCCTCCAGATAGGAGTGTTTCCACTGTAGCGCTTGTATAAATAGGCTATGTCAATCGCTTGTACTAAACAGATCCGGATGAGGGCAACGTAGGAAGGGATGCGCCACAGTTGTGGCCGGCGAGCTTACGAGGGTATCATTCCCATTTTGACAAGCTGTCGAAGATTGCGACATGCGGCACATATTGTTCTCAAAGCTTTCAACGCCCTCTCAGCCGCAACCGTTGCCCTAGGCTCTGCCTTCCAAGCCTTCCAAGCTTGGACGACCAAATCAGGAGAAGACTCGCAACGTTTCCCATACTTGCGACAACCGACGCATGCCCACCGTCCATGTCTGATAATAGCAGGGTGATGACATACACTGTCACCCTTACCACGCAAAGTCACCTTGGTGACACATAGGAAGCAAGGTGGGTCGCGGACAGGGCCCTTGAGTTCGGCCTGTAACCAGGTAAGTTAGCGGCGATGCGGTTGAATAATGCAAGTCGCCATAACAGACTTACACCATCTTCGTCGTCATCAATATCAGCGTCCTCTGTTGGCGCAGGTGAGAGACTCTCGCTTGACGTGCGTCTCTTGACTTCGGAAGCAGCAGCAACAGAAGCCGAACTGTTGTGAACAGCTGCGTGTGCAGTGGAAGGACTCCCATGATGAACTTCCTCCTTGTATGAACCTTCACCACCATTCACCACAGCAGGTGTATTGATATGGGAATTTGACGGAGATGGATGTGATGAAGTGCTCCGGCCGTCAGGCACGGCGATGGGAGCTGGTAAAGGGCCTGTAACGGGCAACTCGGGAATATCATCTTGACCCTCATTGTCCTCCGCTTTAAGAGATGGGGAGGGAGAAGAAGAAAAAGAAGAAGAAGAGGCGATTTCTAAGACGACAACACCACGAGGCTCTTCCTTGATCGTGGGCGCCGTATTCACGACCACTGGCCCTGAAGAAACACAAAGTACTGGAGTCCCCTCATCATCAGACGACAGCCAGGGGTTTTGTTCAGCCACATCAACCCAAGGCATGATAGAAGGCCACGTTGGTGTTGTCTCTCGTAATGATTGACATTTCCGGCGACGACGACTCCAAGTTCACATTGCGCAGACCTTGAGTAGAGGTACAGGTCGGTAGGATTCGTGACATGACGTTGACACGACGTTGCTAGTGGATTGAGGCTTCCATGGTGAGGGGAACATTTTGGGGGAGCTGCACGTCAGCTTAGAAGCGTAGGTGGTGTAGAAGCAGGTGCTAATGCACCCTTACACTAACAATATGTAACAACACATCTGGTGACGTCGACGCGACTGGGTAGCATTCGACTTTCTAAGCATCACCAAATTGAGAGAGAGAGAAAAAAAAAAAAAAAAAAAAAAAAAAAAAATCCATCTTCTACCATACACATTCATCTCATTGTTTTCAACGGCTCTGATGGTTGACCGACCGACAACGACCACTCTAACCGGGTCACGAGCCTAAAGCCACCAAGTCGTGGATCTGGATGAAACCGAACAAAAGACGAGAAATAATGACTTCCAGACACGGAACTTCCCTACAGGTACAACACTAGTGTACAACAGTTAAGCGAGCGCAGGGTACCATACTGCGCAACAATAAGTCCGACGGGAGTCCGTTCACAGTCATATCACACGCGGGGTAAAACATCTTCACCACACCTCTTAGTGACCCCTGGGCCTCCGATCCACTCAGGTTCATCATCCTCCCTCCAGTCTCCAGACTCTCATCCCGCCTGCGCTTTGGTAATGGATGATCAGGGGGATCAAACGGGTATCTCCACGGCAATTTCCGTTCTGTCGCGAAAGGTTTCGCAAGGGCACAAGGCTGGCTGAATTGGAGGGGCCATCTGATGATGGTTTTCGGGAGCTTTGACAGTAAGCACAGACGAGCAATCAAAAGACGGGAATAGCCGGGTTCAGAGAACCTCCCTCATCCAATGACGAATTTTACAGTAGAGCAGCGACAAGTCTGACAGACATCCCGGACACCAAAGGGGTCGTCGGGCGGGTCCGCTGATAATCTGATGTGAATGTGATCGCCAAGTCGATAACATAGAAGAGACCGCATCCGATGACAGCGGAAAGAGGCTTGCCTGATGCCTCACAGTTGCAGCTGTATGAGACAAACGGGAATCAGACGACGACGACGACGACAACGATGGACGGCCATACCAAAAAGGCAAGATGACGGCCCGTGACAAACGGCAACCAACAGTCTTCCACGGGACGGAAACGAAATTCTGTCAGTCTCTCACTCTCGGCGTGCAGCATGGCTTGCTGCTTGTTTCTGTTCCGGCGGCCGACATCTCTTGCGATCGCTCTTTGTTCAAGGGAGAACTCCATGATCCATTCCAATATCAATTTATCCATCTAGCAATGGGGAATGGAGTTAAGAGGTTCTGGAGATATTGTCACTTGTTGACTGGTAGGCAAGTTCCGTTTCTAGCGCACAGTCATCACATGGGTGTTTGTTCATTCATGCTTATGATAGATTTCGGATGGATTTGAACTCACGGCATATTTTTAATTGATCGCTGTGATCGCGATTCATCGTGACTAGTGGCGTGACAGGAAGAAGGGTTGGAGGTCAGGAGGCTCAGCTTCCCTAAGCTCCGGTGTCCCGGGCGGGTGAAGGACCCGATGTCGATGTCCTGCTGCTGGTCACTCACCGTCACTCTCCGGAGTCCGGACGTCACCTCACCTGTACACTAAACAAAGTGACGAAAAAAAAAAGACAACTGGGGTCATCACAAAACTGCGGGGTGCCATGCCACAGGATCGACAAACATCCTCGGCCAGGTCTAAACCCAACGAGGAAAGATTCGAGAAACCTGCTAGAATCCCGGAATCCGAGGAAATTGGGAATTCTTCGACAAACACTGGCACAGCGAGTAGATCTCCCCCGCCTTGCCTCGCCTCCTCTTGTTTATCACCGACACTGCCGCATCACCAAATGCGTTCCGCAAGGAAACGAAATCGAGTGACGAAATGGGGAACAATCAATGCGGGAAAGATGGGATGGAAGGCGACAAGAAGAGCGACAAGGCCTTCCATGCATTGATGCCATCCATGCGTTGATGTGTGATGCCAAGTCCGTGTGCAATCATATGTCATCCGATGTTTAATCCGTGGGAACTTCCGTGATCCATCATCTCATGTTCAAATAAGATGGGGAAGACTAAGTAATGACAGCAAAACAAACGCTGATCATTGGCAAAGATGCCGTGGCAGACGCAATCACCTTCACACTTCAGCTGCCGTCTTTTGAGCCTCAAATCCCAACAGCACAACAATTCTGTGACGCTGAAGTAAGCAACATACTTAGAGGTACGTCCCCTAGGTTGTATTCGGGCAAGAGTTTCTCACTTCATCCCCGAACCGCCGCCAGGCAGCGACATGGGGGGCGAGCATATCATGTAAGTAAGTACCTCCGGCCATTTTTACCGTCGCTCAACTCGCTTGCTCCTTGAGGTAAGTGCGACAAAGTAACAAGCGCCTTGCCGCACGCAGGTAGTCCGTCAAACATGGAACAAGGCGTCGTCGTCGTCGTCGTGACCCGATCTCGGAGTTTAGAATTTAGAAGAATTGATGATGATTGATAAGTAGGACAGTCGGAACAATCACTGGACTTCTTTTCTTATTCTTCCGTCTGACGATGGTCCGGGAATTATTTCCCCGCATGTATTTCCATTTTCATGCATATTGAGCTCTGATAACATAAGCGGGCAAATCCTGACATCCTTCCAACACTTCATTGAACATGGGTCGGAGTTCGGATGGCGTGGCATTGTTGTAGCGTGTTATTGACAGGTGGGTAGCGTAGCGTGCCCCTCCGTGGTAGGGCATTACTACGCATTTCAGATCTCATTCATCTGGTCCATCAACAAATTGCGTGTCTGCCTCGTGGCAGAGCATCATTGACTTCGATTCGGATATGCAGTTGGCAGCAGGCTGTCAGCCCAGGGCACATTTGTCTTCGTACATTCTTCCGTTGCGTCGAGCTCGGTGTATTGATGCAATGGATCATGCCGATGGGCACGGTGATAAATGCAAACAATTCCAGGTAGAGGGGTCCGTGGACGGATAGAACCGGAACACACCTCTTACCTACCGTGTTTGTGATCTACTGCATAGTATGTAGACTGATGACGGTAGGTGAAGGATTGAGGCTGACTCCTCCAGACAAAAGAAATCACAACAGCAAAAAAAAAAACAAAATCACCCGTTCAACACTTCCATATTGCTTCCATCTCGTACGATTCTTACCTATGTGTATCTACCGGTCACCTCAACAAACCTTGCTGCAGTGCTATGGTGCATGTATGTATGGATATGCCTGCACCGCTGCGGTGACACACTGTCCCCCTCAGGAGTGTATCACAGTGATACATGCAGTAACACGACTTACACTGCAGACAGACAGAGACAAGCAACCACAACCCTACCTACACTACCTAGGTAGATGGGGGCGTGACACCAGGGTGTGCTGCTGTGTGTTGTGTGCATTTTGTTGTCCCACGTAAATGACTGGTGATTGTTGCTCGCTTGAATGTGCAATATGTGTGTGTGTGCGCCGTCTACGTTTGTGCAACGAGTGACAAATGCTTCTTTTTTGCTTCAAGCGTTGTTGCGGATCTCCCGCTGTGTAACCCCCCCTCCCTCTCTCTCTAACTATTGCCCGCCTCCCCCCTCCTCCTTTTCTCCTGGATGTTGGATGGATGGGTGGATGGATGTATCCGATGATGACACGACGGCAACACGGGAAGGAGGGAAAACGTAAGATGCCGCCCTGGTGGAAGTTCTAGAAGACTGTCGGTTGCCGTTGATGGCGTGGCATCCATGGTAATTGGTTGCTTTTTTTCTCTGGGTACCTATGTTGTACGAGTTGGAAAAGATTGGAAAAAGGCAGGGCAGTTTCGACGTCGGTTCGAAGGATTCTTTTTGCCTTGCCCCGCATTATATGTGATGTGTCGTTACATTAATGGATTCTATAGTGGTTGGTTGTATACTGTAGTAAAAAAGTGCCGGGTGGGTGGAAAAGGCGAAAAAAAAAGTGTTACAGCATAAGGTGTAGGCTGTGTTAAGTGTCCGGTTGTTAGTGTATACCTAGGTGGCGTAGGCGAAATGATAACAGTTAGGCAAGTTTCTTGATCGCTAAACATGACCATTAACAAGCAGACCGGGATGAGCCTGGGCAGAGACAATGAATGAAATGAATCTCGCAAGGCGACCGTAATAAAGGCGAGGTCATACTGATACAGAGAGAGTCATGCTCACTGGATCCTGGATCCTGGACCTAGAACTGCAGAAACAGATTTTATCTCTCTCACCACCTACCGTATCTCACCACGATGATGATCCAGCCCTGATCCTGTCCCATTGGCATTGACGTTACACGACATCCAGACATTCTAGTGTAGTCCGAAGTCTCCCAACCATTTTGTTTCTCTTCCATTCATCTCGATTAAATATGTGTGCATGATCTTAGCACAAACTTGTCTTGTCAATCCGCCCGTATGTAAATGTCTTGATATGGCGGCGCTTACACCGGCAGGCCGGACAGCGGTCGGGCTTCGGGAGTCCGGCCTTATTTTTTTGTTTTTCTTTTGACGTTAACGTAAGACGTAAAATTCGCCTCCTCCTAATTTCTCAGTCTTTGCCAACATCGTATCATGCACAAAGACAAATCTGAGCTAGGCATATGAAAAAGTTTTCTTCGGCTATAAGCGCCAACAACGGAGAAAACTAAAGAAAACTCTGTTGGTGTTGACGATTTCCTTGACAGAATGTGGCTTGATTTTCTTCTGGCCTCCTCGGACGTAGCGAGGCTTCAGCTCCGTCCAGCGGAAGATAGCCAGTCTCGTGAGCGCTTGGCGCAGCTGAACCGTTTTTCTAGAAGGGTAACCTTTGTAGCGCTGCTACACTACATATCGTATAGTGCCATGCCATGGCCTGCTATTTAGGCGAAATCGCGAAGCCTGCCGCCGCGGCTCGCATCAGGAGTGATGACTGTGATCGGAGAATTTTCTTCCTTTGTTGCTTTTTCTCTTCTTGGTATTGTTTGCTTTAACTTTCGCTAGCCTAGGATGAAAATTTTCCTCTGGACGCTCGCTCTTTCCTGGCCTTCAACCATGTTGGCGATCGGTGGTCGGTTACATCCGGCTATGCTACCCCTTTACCAAGAGCTGCTAAACTGAATTTTGCTAGCGTAGAGACACATACCAAAATGGAGTGAAGGACTTGTCTCGTTTTTGTTGTATGCTCCGTTCTCAATGTGGAATTGATCCCATTCTCAACTCGTGTAATTGCAACGTTGTCAAGTCCACCATGGAATTGCTCTATGTTTTTAAATAATAGGTAGTGAAAACAGGCAAAATGTAACTAAGCAGTTACCTCTAGTTCATGCGAGTTTCACCAAGGCTGTGATTATGTGATTAGAAATGTACATAATAGAGCACCAAAGAGGGCACAAACACAACTTTGGCGATGTACACACTACATACCTCTCGGCTGACGGCCGACGGCTCAGTGGAGTGGGAATGCAGAAAAAGGCTACGGATGGGTTGATTGCCTCTTTCATAGTGTACAAGGCTGCCCGAAGACCAAGGACCGCCGCGCCGGCTGCGGTGCCGTGTCGTAAGATGTTCGACTTCTATTGGAGGCCAGATGTGGGAAAGAAAGGGAGCCAAGCTGGCCAAGTACCGACGCCGGCGGGAGCGCGCGGTTACCACAGGGTAGCAAACTTTATTCTATCCCCCGACCTGCCGTACGGTACGAATATTGTACAGCGTCTATCTTATAGTGGATGGTCAACAACAACAACAACGGCAAGGGCAAGGCATACAAAAATGGAGAGACTTCAGTTCGAGCAGCAGGCTCCAAACTCTCGGTGAGAACCGGCCGCTTTGTTGAGGCTTGTCAGGTTTCGTCTGGCTGGGCAAGGCTGGGCTGAATAGCCGGTATCCGATATCTGACCAAATGATTTGACAGAATGTGTGAGTGAGATGAGGTGCCAGCTTCCGCTCTTTCCACATTGCCGCCGCGCGCGTAAAACCCCCCAAGCAACAGGGTTTGTGCCAAGTCGCACCGCATGGATTCAATGCCATGATAAGCCTTGCGAAAAGCGACGACGACGACAAGCCCATGAGCCGTCAGCCGAGGACATGATTCGTGTTATCGACCCATGGCCGTGGAGTTCGGTCCCTTGTTCGAGGAGGAGGAGGAGAAGAAGAGCAGCAAAGCGTGACGAAACCAACTCTCGTCTGATGTTTGGTCCATGTGGCCCATGGAATGATGGAACTTCAAGGGAGGGATGTGCGTTGTGGAGAAAAGGGTTTTGGCGACCGCCTGGCCTAGCGCCAAAAAAGATTGAAGGTCAGAGGTATCATGAGGTTTCAAATGTTGGCATGCGGTGCAAGAATGTTGGCTTTTCCCTAGTCGAAGCCATGGAGCGATCATCGTTCCCGCGACAGAGACGCACTGGGTAAAACCCTGAGGTTTCGGCCACTTCGGGCACGAGTTTATCAGGGTTATGTGTGCAGTACTAGTCAGCGCAGTGTCTCCTTCTCAATCTACTTGTAGCTTGTGAAAATTGATCGTCGCACACGGGCCACCATTCGCTTTTACCATTGGTCACTCAATACGTCTCGACGGTGAGTTTCCTGAACAACATCGACTTTTGACTTTTAGCGGTAACGAAACACGAGAATACAGTCGTCTTTACACTAGTTAAATCATCTTTGTCGGCAACCAGGTCAATAGTACGGAACCATAACCGAGAATCGCACCATCTTGATATTATATCGGCCTCGAGCCGATGGATGGATGGGGTGTATCGGGCTGATGTTAAAGTCCGTTATGGAGGTGTCAAGACGAGCCAAGTCGAGGCTGAGGCACCACACAGTGGAGCCGTTTGGGGGATGGCGAGGGGATGGAGACGTAAGACCGGGCATCGGAGATAGGGTTATCGCAGCCAAATGGAACAAGGGCGACCAGACCAGAAGCCGCCTCGAGTTGGGAATGGCGTCTTTTGTTTGTTGAAATTGCAGTTTATGAGAGTTGGTACTGTTGTAGTGTATTCGCTGCTCGGACGCGGGGAATTATCCTCGCCAACCTCATGCGACACGAGGCAGCACACAATCGGAGTTGTGACCCCTAGACTAGTAGTTTCCATACATACTCACAACCTGAGGTACATATGCGCATCGCATATCGAATTTGTGTTACACCATCAAGTCAAGTGGTACAGCGGTGGCTGGCGAATGGGGAGACGGACACAGACGAGGCAACAAGCGTGGCAAGTGGTACATATTTGGTAGCGACCTGACTCCGATGTTTCCAAAGTGCTTCCAAGGGCCTTCCATCCTACTTTGCGTAACCATGCCGCGCCCATTTGTGGTGTTTTCTGGGTTGCCGTGGCTGCGTTGTATCCAAGGGAACAGGCCGTGGCCAGTTGGAGGGGAGCAGACATCACGGCCTTTTTACTTACCCTGCAGCATCCGGAACACGGCTTGACGGGTGGGGACAGGTGGGTGACGAAGATGGTCTTGGAGGGTCTTGGCGTCGCTTGGCTCTGGTTGGCGCCTCTTGGAGATTGACAGAACAAAAAAAAGGGAGCGACGGTCAGAACACTGCGGTGAGTGCAAGAGCGACAGTAGTGCCAGTGTCAAGCCAATCCAATCAGGTTCAGTCTCGCTGTAAGTGGGGTGAGTCCGAGGACTCCACCGACAACCCAGTGGATTTATAGTGGAGTTTGTCCGTCAAGGTTTCCCCTCTGGTTGGTCCGATGTCGTCTGCTTCTTCAGAGATCATCCCAAAAGGAGAAGGCTTCTAGAAGGCTTCTAGGTCGCAATCCATCCGACCCACCCTTGCCTCGGTTCACCCTCAGAACCTCGACGGTGAGGTGTGTCTTCCCCCAGTCTCACCAGTCTCGCCAATCCAATGCTCTTGATGCCAGTCCCCGCTCCACTAGATTGACTTCAGTTTCGATACGACGCTGGCTAACGATTAGTCAGAGTGACAAGACCGACAAACGGCTGCCTCGTGGTCAGCAAGTTGGGGAGTTTGTTGGTCAAAAAAAGGGTCAATCAGTCAAGCGAATAACTAAAAAAAAATGGGGAATTGCGTGACGGCCGAAGACGGGGTAGGCGGTGGAGATGGAGGCAGAGGAGGAGCCGTCCTTATCAGTGACCTGCTCCACGCCCGACGAGGACCCCAGACCCAGACGATGGATTCTGCAATCACTCAATTCAGATGTCTCCATGTCCTGGAGACTTGTTGACTGTTCCAAAGGTCGGTCGCCCACCATGACGCCCACTGACGCCTCTTGCACCCGCAACCCTTCGAGCCGCTTCATCCAACCACTCTGACTGGCCAAGTCCCTTGACGGGAGGTGGCAGGGCTTTGCAGGGTTTTTGCAGGGGGTTGCAGACTGGCAAGGGCGTGGTCCAAGGGTGGCCGAAGGATGGACTTTGGACGCGCAGGGAATGGTGCGAGAAGCTGGGCAGATGTTCGCCCAAGCAGCAAAGTGCAGCGAATTGCATGTTGTCACGGCCCCTGTTCGTCTCGTCGTGCCGCACCCACATCTCCAAGAACAAGGTGCTGCTGGTCACTCGCTTGCTGGGGACCGTGGGAGCATGGCCTCTTGGGAGGCTCCTCCCATTCCCTTCTTGTGCGGTTCCGTGTCGCTCACTGCAACAAGGCTCCAAGAGGGAAGAAAAGAGGCAGGCAGGCACCCTGGAAGGCGGCACACCCATGATCTGGCAGATTCATGAACAGTCTTGTCCCTTTCATTCACTCAGCAATCTTATTGCACCTGAACTTGCTCAGCCGGATCTGCACATCTTGCTTGATGCAATCTCGGATTTAGTAGAAGACTGAAGGGAAAGAGCACTTGTTTTCTTTGTTGAGCCAGCAGTCCATCTCGTACACTACTCCACTTTCCGTGCACTGGCCACTGTCCTGCAAACAGACAGAAGAAGGAAGGGAAGGGGAACCGCCCGACGCCGAACGGTCATCCCGCCCGCCGCCTCGCACCAAAGCGCTGGGACCTGGCTGGCACTGGAGGGGAGTGGGTGGCTTTCACTGACTCCACTGGCATTCCTGGGACCGCCGCTTCTCGGGGTGGCCCTTCTTTGTTGTGAGAGAGGGAACCTTGCTTGCTAGGTCAGTGGGAAGCGAGCGCCTAGCGCCCCGTTTTTGCCATCGCGGGAACTTTTGGGTCCTGGTCCTGCTGCTGCGCGGCTTCCAGCTTCCATTCTTCTGGGACCACCACCCACCAACACGAGACTCGGGTCGTCATTCGTCCTTTGACCAACCACGGTTCCTGGCCGACCTTTCGTCGGTTTCCCTTTTTGTACAGACCACATCCCACCCTCCTTTTTGGATTTGATTTTAAAAAACCGTCGTCAATCCTTTCGCGCGCAACGTCCTTACCGGCGAACCGAAACCTTGGCTCTTGTCTTGTCGACTTGTCACTTTCTGTCTCGCAAAGCCGCATCATCGTCAACACCCACCGTCTCAGTCACTTACACTGGATCGACTCCACCCACCAAACAGCAATCCGAGTCGTCACCTGCATTCCATATCCGTCGCCCTTCTGTCTTCTCTTCTGCAACAATCTGCACCTGCAACTGCACCTTGCTTCTGCTGCGACTGCTGCATAACTGCCTGCTGCTGCTGTCCACTAGCAACAACCTGACCACAGCTAACACCACCACAACACAACACAACACAACATCAACAACGACAACGACAACAACAGCAACACCTTCCTTTTGTCGCCGTCCCCCATCATTCTCGCACTCATTTATTACTACTTAGTTGTTCGATTCGATCCACCACCGTCTTTCGATAATCGCCCAGGCTTTTTTCCGATTCCCATCAATTCTAGACGTCATTTGGAACTCAGTTGGATTTCAGTTCATTTACTACTTGCCAACCATCAACTGTGTGGGAGGATCAAATCAATTGGACGAACGAACTTCATCGACGACATTGAGCACCACCGCGCCGACTTCGCAACTACGACGCATCACCACGACCGTCAACCGACAGGGATAGGGATATTCATCGGTTTATTGAGCGTCTGCTGTGTTGCCTAGCATCTCGTGTTGTTGGCTTAGACATACAGACGTGCAAGTCAGACAGGTTTACGATCCTGCTGCCTCCGCACTCAACAGCCACCGCTTAAACCCAGTCGCAGATTAATCGGCTTACGATCTGGTCCGGTACCCGGCTGCCTGCAGCTTCTACGTGACTTCTAGCCCACGCCTTGTCTCCCAGAACGAGTCGACGACGGACTTGGAGACCTGCCGCTTCCCGATCAGTCCTGCCGCAAATTGGTTTACTAGGCCGGCAACGGAGCCAAGAGGTTACGTGCATTGTACGGGTGTCGGGCAACCGCACACTCCCAAAACAGTGCCCTTCTGCCGCTCCCTTCCCTGCGCCTAGGCAAACGGCCTGTATATAACGGTCTGCTTCGGTCGCCAAGTCACCTCCGACCGAATGGAGTGAGGACGCTTCCCGATATCTGGTCCTTTTCTGGCTGCACGCGAGCCTTCATCTGCTCTGCAAGTCCAACCATCCACACTTCGCCTTATCGATTGTCGGGCGCTCCGTGTTGGGAAGGATGCCACCGGCGCGGCTACGAACTTTGAGCCTCAGCCCATCGCGCAGGAAATCAGCGCGATTCTCTTCCGACTCCGACCACTCCGACACCGATTCCACCATGGCCCAATCCAGACCTTCTTCCATGGCGATACCGCCACCCTCACTGCGAGACATTCTGTCCAACACCGCGCCCCCACCATATACTTTTGGCGCCTTCCTTGCCTTCCTGTCTCACAACCACTGTCTCGAGACGCTCGAGTTCACCCTTGGTGCTGACCAGTATCGCAAGGCGTATAACGACATCATGCTCGGGAGATGCCGTCCTACGCCTGATGGTCTCCACCAGCTGCGATCTATGTGGGAGAAGCTCATGAATGCTTATATCCGGCCCAACAGCAGCCACGAAGTCAACCTTCCGGCTCACGTCCGCGACCGGCTAGTGCAGCTCTCTTGCGCTGAGCAACCGCCGTGCCCCTCGGAGCTTGACCAGGCTGTGGCTTACACCTATGATCTCATGGAAGGTTCGATACTCGGACCCTTCTTGGAATCACTAGCGCCTACCCCTTCGCCTTCGCCTGCGCCTACTCAGCCTACTTCTTCTCACTCAACAACACACTCACACTCACACTCACACTCACATTCTCACTCCCACTCTCACTCTCTCTCCCATTCCCGCTCGTACTGGAAGGACTTGGTCCACGATCCCAGACGTACACATGGTGGAGCCTCACCTCCTCCTCAGCATGATGGCCAGCAGTCGAACCGATCATCAAAGGCCAGCGGTCTTCTTCCTCTGCACACTTTCGGGTGGCAGAGCGAGACCTCCAGCCGATCGGCTTCCTCATCAACCGTGGCCGACTCACCTATCGACGGCTTTACTGATGACAGCAGTTCCGGTTATCCTTCTGGAAACGAGCCCATGACGCCGCCCACCACACCGCCTAGCGCAGACTGGACCTTTGGCACCTCCCCCAGCGGTATCTCTAGGGCCATGCACGCCAGCGGCTGGAAGAAGATGGGCGCAAAGCTGGGTTTGGGAAAGAAGAGCCGTAGCAAGCGCTCCCAGACCACTAGTGTCCCTTCTACAGGGTATGGGTACGAAATTGGTTTGCCTGATGCCAGACAGAGCGCCAGCAACCCCTTATAGGGATTACAGGTCATGCCAGCTCTTGATGGAGCCCGCTCTTCCCCCCGCCTCCATCCTACCACCTCGGCCGAGTCCATCAATTCGGATTACTCGATGGAGGATGTAGCAGATGTCAAGTTGGAACCACCTATTCTGGTCCAATGGGAAGAGTCCACCCCCGGTCAGCATATTCCGTCGCCAATGGCCGGTAATAACAACGCAGTTCAAGATGCTGGCCGCGAGGGTAGGCTTCACAAGGATGGCATGGCCGCAAAAGGCTATACGCCATATATCAGAACGACGCCTGAAGGTGTCGCAAGGCGATTTACTCGCCCCAGAGTTAGAAGGGCCATTTCGAGCAACCCCGCAGTCACCGTTGACAAGTCGGCTACCAACAACAAGCCCGCTGTTAGCAGCCCGCTCCGCACTGTCTCGGCCTCAAACCTACGCTCCAAGTTCCTCGCTGTTGATCACTCTCAGGATCAGTATCTCAAGCCTCCCACTGTGGATCCATATGGCTGGGAAGCTGCCTACAGCGGCGAGAAGCTGGAAGCTGATGATGAGCAGACCTGCCTGGAGAACTTTGGATTCGACGAAGCTACTCTTGTCAAGCTGACCTACCGCAGTGCTGGCGGAGAGCGTCGTAATCTATTCCACCGCATGTTCGCCCATGCTCCGAGGGCAGAGGGTGGTGCCACGGCAACCACCACTCTTGCGCTCAAGGCCTAAAAAGCGCCTCTCGCTTCAAAATTCAATTTCCTACTTGTCTGTTTTTGGTCTGTGCTTTTCAACAATATACCCCTCTATCGTTTGGTCTTTTTTCGTTTTCTCTTTTTTTTTTTTTTTTTCCTAGCGTCTTTACTACATACAATAGACTTGGTGTGTGGAGGAACTTTGCTCACGCAAAGGATTTCGGAAATGAAAGCACATTCATGGGAGACGCCGCAAACGGGATGACGATGAACATGACTTATACACTTCAACATACGTCAACGGCTTTTTTACTGTTTTCTTGTTTTACAAACTTTTTGTACCCTTTACTATAGCACAAATGGTTAATAGGGGAAATAAGGGGTGTTAAAGGGGAGCAAGGCAAAGCATTTTCGGCGGCGGGATGGATCGGATTCGGATCGGATCGGTGGTCATTCATGGTGGCCGGCGGGTTATCAGGCGCGCACGCGGTTTTAGGCAGGCGGCTTCATTATCATACATAACTTTCGCTCATGTCCTTATGTCCTATCTTTTGAAGGTGTAACTGTACTCTTATGTTGCGAAAGAAAGGTGGGAGGCTTAAACCGGTGGGCGGTTGGTTGGTTGGCAGGCAAACCAGGAGGATAGGCGTTTGTTTTTCACAGGGGTAGCCATTCATACAATGGCTGGATACAATTGAACAAGAATAATTGAGCATCAAGATTCAAGTTACATGTTTACACTACCTCACTTCATCGTCCTCAAGTGTTTTTGACTGTCGTGATTGTGTCTTTTGGCGACAAGGACTTGTTACCATGGATGGAAAGTTTTGATGGACACTTGCAGAGACGAAGCAACATAAATGTTCTCATTCATTCACTGGCGTACGTTCAGGGTATGGACAAGTATTTAAATTCAAACAACACCGGCATGTTGCTTCAGCCATGCACGTTCCCTTTCCACGTTCTTCTAACTCTCGCCAACCACTGCTCCCGCACACGGTCATCAATATCAACAATCAAGGTCATCAATCAAGGAGCCCAGACACGTCCCATACCATACAGTCCCAGCATCGTCATGGGACCCAAGTAAGTAAGTAAGTAAGCAAGCAAGCAAGCAGGACATCTCAAAGTGACACACCATCCATCACCCCTCGGATCCGGCAAATATCCGTTTGGCACACACGTGTGTGTCCCGGTTGGGTCTGGTTCAGGGCTCGCTCGGGTACTGCTCCTCATTGACCTGACCTGAAAGCAAACTGTTCCCCAAATCTTATGTCATTGACTGCTCTGCTCCATATCGGAACAAAAAAAAGACAAACAAACATTTGCTCTCTCATCGGCGGCACTATACATATATATGTAAAAAATCAGCATCGTCCCGTGTTGGCGGTTCCCGTGCAAGGGTCGGTCGGGCGAGACAAAGTCGGGTACGGTTTCCTTTGTGTTACTCCTATTTTTTTTATTTATTTTTTTTCGTTTTTCTTTTTTTCGGTTTGTTCGCGGTTTCGGTCGGAAAACATTGCACGGGCAGGAGGAAAATCGAGACTGGAGACTGTGGACTACAGCTGGAGCAAGACAGAGAAGAAGAAGAAGAAGACGAAGACGAAGAAGCATGTCGAATCGAGACATGGGGGCGCACTGCAGCATCTGCATAATCACACATTGATATTTAGCAAAATTTGAAACCGCGTACTCCCAGCCCGGTTCAGGACTGCCCTGCCCTGCCTGGCTGGGGAAGGAGAACCAACCACGTTAACAGACATGGTATGAATGTTGAGGAAAAGAGGCATTGTGATTACTAGAGGTACCTTACCTACCTTACCTTACTTATTTAGGTAGGTAGGTACCTTTAGATAACGAAAGAAACGGGGTTGGAATCTGAGATAGACCTATGCATCCCGTCCGGAAGAGAAGGGAAGTACCTAGAGGTCATAATGGCTGCTGTTACCTACCTACCTACATACCTACCTACGTAATGGTAACTCGTAACTAGGTTACTGTAGCTAGGTACCTCCCAGAAAAGAAAAAAAGTGTCCCTGCGAGAAAGAGGTATTCCAGTAGTATATATGCCTACATAATAAGTCAACGAAATGATTACCTATCTAGCCCCCTTCATCAACCCCCAACGCACTGGACTGAACTCATACTCACTTTGAGGGGCGGGAAATGTGCGGGCGGTGGCTTTGATTTACTTGGCCTTTGGGGTATATAAGTTTGGCTGATTCCGTCATCGTCACCTACCACTATGTTCTTTAGCTATGATGGTCACCTGGGTAGGTTTGGGTTTCGGGTCTGGAAGGAGGGGAGTTGGACGGATAAGCACGAGTCTCATTCCTGGAAAACTTTCGGAGTCGATGACGTCCGGCTGGATGGAATAGAGGTAGGAAGGCGTAGCCGAAGAGATTCAGCAGAGGTAGTACACTAGAAGGTAGTTGCGACTTGACAATGCACTGGTAGGTCATGCTCAGTGGAGCTCCGTCAGACCTTATTGTCGAAGTTAACGTCCGGCTGGGTCACTCCAGTCATCCTCAAGTTTGACCAAACAAACCAGAAGAAAGAAAAAAATAAATCCATCGAGCAAACTAGCTGCCTGGAAAAGAGCAAAACAGATTAGCTTCACCTGCGACCAACTACTGATCAGGATGCTGTGATTATGAATAGCATTATGGCTCATCAGTTTGTCCAGAAGCAAGAACTAGGTGTTAGGTGGGTGGTTGAGCAGGCACTTTCGCCTCAATGTTGTAGACTAAGTCTAGAACTTGTGCAGATAGAACCAAGTCTTCCAAAGGAGTTGTCGTGTAGTCTTAGCACAGGGCACTCTAGCCGTGGTGTTGACCAGTTCCAGTCTTCACTCTTAGATGTGGATATAACTGCTGATAATTTGAACAAAACAAGCAGAACGAAAGAAAACTTTCCCAGAAAAAGCATGGCTCACAGCGCTGAAGTGCGCAGCAATGGCAACTGGAAACTGGAAAAGCAGTTGGGTGTGGATATCATCGATGGTCGTCTAGAATTACTGGGGGAAAGGAAATCATCGATTCAACGCGTAGCTGTAGGCAATAGGTCAAGTTTTGCTCCTCGTACACTCAATATTTGCACGAAGGAGACAGGAGAGGCCCCAAGACAGGTAGATATCTATCTACCTCGCAGTAGACACTCGAAAGTTGACATGTCTGGTACGTACGCACAGCACTGTCGACGTAGACTATCAATCTTTCTCAATACGTTTCCAACAACTATCACCTGAATCTACTCAACCAGCCACTCCTCAACCTCTACCCCCATACTCCTCCCCAACCCCCTTATCACCTCCCACCCGACATTACACCTCCATTTCCCTCCTCTATCCATCTGATCACCCGCCATGCCTCCCGCTCCTGCGCCACCAACCTTCACCAACAACCGCAAACTTGCCAACGTGGCAATAGCCATCTCGATATCCGCATCCATCTCCCTGCTGCTGGAATCCTGGTCCAACCACTTGGGGTCCCACTCCCCCCTCACAGCCATAAAGATAGCCAGCATGCGCTCCAAAACAAAGGCGTGAGCACCGAGCAGCTTGCGCGCAATCTTGCGGTGCTTGCTCTGCGCGCCGCGATGTCCGCCCCGGCCCATGCCGACGGAAAGCCCACCGCGCCGCCTGCGACGGCCGTGATGGAAGGTGGAGAAGAGGACAAGGTCGTGGCGGGTGGGGTTGTGGGAGGCGAGGTAGGAGGCCAGAAGGAGAAGACGGGCAGTAGGCGGGAGGAGGGTCGAGAGGTCGGTGGTGGTTGCTGAGACGAGGGGGTTCGCTGTGGCTTTGGGTTTGGAGGGGGTTGTAGTGGTTGAATGGGCCTTTCGGGGGGTGTTGGCTTGGGAGGGCGGTGCTGACAGCTGGGCGGCAGTGTTATCTTTTGCCTGGGCCTGGGTTGTTGTTGTTGTTGACGACGAGGAGTAGGACCGTACGGCTACGATGCCGGGGTCCAAGAGGGATTCATCTTGGAAGTGGACGCGGGCGGCGACCATCAGTTTGGAGAACTCTCGGGGAGCGTGTGTGCCGGCGAGGATGGGCGCCGTGAAGCGTGGCCAAAGGGATGTACAGGCGTGCTGGAGCGCGGGAAGGGTGCGGGAGGCGGATCGAGCCAAAGCATCATGGACAGCTCCAGTGAAGCGGTTCCATAGCTCTGTTGTTTCTTGTATCGTCGTCGTGGGGAGTGGTGCCGTAGGTAGCGAGGTTGTGTTCAAAATGGTGACAAACTCATTCTTGGTATAATTTGGGAACTCTATATAAGGGACGAAGGAGGTTCGTAGGAAGCCGGCGGGAGGCGATGTGACAATGAAGACACTGGTTATACGAGGGATCTGAGGGGACATGTCTGTTAGCCAAACTGTGTCTACTCCGAGGGAGTGTGCCAGAAGCCTTACAATCTCGGAGAGCCTGGCCAGGGCTGGGAGGAGTGTGATGGGCGCTTCCCGTTGACGATCGATGCCGTCAAAGACAAGTACGAAGCGAAAGTTGTCCGGGTATGATGGGTATTTGAGCATCTTGGACAGCTCAACAAGCATTTGCGAGACAGAGTCGCATCTTGTCGCACCACCTTGCCATTGTAGGGCTTCTGCGACCCTTGCAATGGTTGATTCGTAGAGGTGACGGGCTGTTATACATTCGATCGAGTTGACGATGACGTATCTTAGGAGGGGTTCATCTTTCTCGGTATCGTCTTGAAGTGCTTGTAGTAAAGCAGCCGTTATGGCGCTCTTGCCGGTGGCTTCGGTGCCGTGTATCACGAGGTTTCGGCATGGTGCTGCGTGAGGCTATCGAGAGGTGTTAGCAAGCGGAAGCTGAGGGGGGAGGAAGCTGTGTTTTGGTCATTACATGCAGGAGAGTTGCTACGGCCCGTATTTGAGCGTCACGACAGGGAAAAGTCTGGGAGAGAGTGGTGAATAGCAGCTCGTCGGGGAGCTGGAAGAGGGAGTCGCCCATGGTAAGAATTGTCAAGGTAGATTGTTGCTAGTTGCCTCTCCTCGATGGTTGTATTTCGGGTTGGTTGGCAGCTGGGGTTCACAGAGCAAGATGTCGTGATTCCAGTCTTGTAGTAGCGTCTCGGTCTATCAGGACCGGCGTGGGTTTGTTCGTCCAAGATCGTTTGGAGATGCAATTGATGGAGGTTGCCCTGGCATTTCCACTTGGGATGCAGACGCGTTGCGCGTCGTTCTCTTTACACCCCTGTAATGTAACATGGGTCCCGCTATAATGACAGCCAAAGACCCCAAAAGAAGCACGGGGCAACAACCCTTGGGATATGTGACATTGTCACCCTTTCCACCATTCAATTCTACAATTCTTTCTGCAGCTTGACTTTCAGTGACACCTGAGCTTTGGAGATCTTCCAGCTATCGGCTTTTCAACATGGAAGTGACCATACGGCTTTGGTAGTGCTCTTCCAATTGGGGGTGTTAAGCGTCCAGCGCATGTTGGACCCATAAATTCAAGAATAGCATAACCGCCTCGACTTGTTGATGGCTGGATTATCACAAGACCAACGACGGTCACTACTATAAAACTGTCAACTGCAGGCCAGCATCGCCTTATCTGAAAGAGATGTTCCGGGCTCAGCAACCTCAAGGGGTTTGAGCGGCAACGGACCAGCTTTTTGGCAGATAATCAGGCCCTATTCGCCTGCGCCCTCTTCCTCTGCAGTCTCACCTCCCAAGTCTTCCAGGACCAGGAGGAGGAGCAAGGCCGCCGGCTTATCGAAGCACGTTGGCTTGGGTGAATAATACGGGGAAGCTGATGCCGGATCACCTGTTTCGGATGACTATGATCCGAGGGCTGTTATTGCGGGTGCCAATGCGGGCGTAGATACGGGTCCTACGCCTTCGCCGACGCATACGCCTCTTCATTCTAGTGAGAACCGGGAGGAGGTGGTGGCAGTTAGTCGAGCTGTGGAGAGTTTTTTTTTATTCTTATTTCGTGATTGAGATAGTCATCGGTGCTCATTGAACATAGTGGCTTGGAAATGTTTGGAGTTGGATCGATACCCATTTGTTCCTTTGACTATTTGCTGCATAGAACATCTGTCCTGACAGTTCATTTTGCCTGTATTCACTGAACATGGTCACAGTTGAAATCGGTCTAAAGCTGGGACATGTGCATCTAACTCCCCTGAGCTGGTCTTCGAGAGTGTCGCGCCATCAGCCTGGTTGACAACCACAGTGAAGCCGTGAATCCAAGACACTTGTGTACAATAACCTCATGTCTTGACCACCTCGTAAAATTCAGAGGAACGGCGGTCCTTCACAGCAAGCTCAAGCATTCTGTGCAGATGGGAACTCTCCAGAGCAGAGGATACTTCGTTACATAGTGTACCTACCCAGAGTCGCACCTTCCTTCCCAGCTCGATCCCGTCTCCTCGCCCAGGCACACAATTTCTCCAGACACCACGCTCCTTCCGTCACATCCTCCTAATTAACGGTACATAAGGCATACTTTCCAGTCGTCCTTCCGCCCAACGAGGCACACAGCAAAAAGCACAGCCAAAAAAAATGGCAGGCTAGCATAGCGGCACACAAGCCCGCAAGCAAGAAGAACACAGAAACGCAGAATGAACAGCATCAGGCCATGCGTTCACTTCCTGCAAAGATCAAAGATTTTCGGAGCACAAAGATCGCACAAAGATCAAGCTCCTCTGACTGATACCATCTCGACGATGGGTCAAGAGACACACTGTCTCTGTCTGATACGAGAACAGAGTTCTCTTCACGAAAACGAAAGCAACAAACCGAAAACGGCGACAGACCGGACCGGACCGGACGAAGAGAAGCAAAAGCAAGCTTCCTGCCAAGATCAGATAATGATCATCTGATATTCAGAGCTCAAGATGAGTTCTGAACAACGCCCGATGATGGGTCAAGCAAGCTCTCAAAGCAGAGCAGAGCAGAGCAAAGAAAAGAGATGCTTTGCGAAGTCGAAAAAAAAAAAAAAAAACAACAAAAAATAACACTACCACTTGGATACCAGGATCTTGGATAAAACCTGAGGAGGTATAAACCCTTATTTTTTGTCTACTTTTTTTTCTTTTTCTCTTTGCTTTACTTTCGTCTTATCCTTCCAGCTCTGCTCTTCCTGTCTTTGTATGTTCTATACTATGCTATCATCTCCCCCGCTATCATCTTACTATCCTCTTAATCCCAGCTATTATTACTCTTATCGCTATTATTACAGTCTAAATTAAGCCTCACTAGCCGGCAAACCTGCCGACACACTATGTCCCACTTCCTATATCCGAATCCCTTCTACTCGCACTACTCCCTCAGCTTCTTATCTACATAAGTACTTGTCGTTTACCCTTCGCTTATAGGCACGGGAATGTAAATATACCTATTGTGTATTAGTAAAGATATAAGTTACTTAAGAAGTAATAGTAATAATAATAGCTTAGAGGTTAGAGGCTGGAGGTTGGAGGTTAATAGTCGAGTTGTCGCGAGACGATAATAAATGTACTAAGTGGTGGAGGAAGTAAGAGGAAGAGAAAGATAGAGAGGAGTGGCGAGAAAGTAGGTTGTGTTAATACTTAAAACGCTTTATTTATCCTAGTCTCCGATTAACCGAATTACCAACCTGTAGATATATTAAAGCAAGTATGAATAACAACCTTGCTCGTTGTAACAATCGGTTAATCTACCTTAGTCAACTGAGTACCCAAGACCGAAGCTATAATAAGGAACTCCTAGAGAGACATTATGTTATATAATATTGCAAGCCCTCCGACTGAGATGAAATATAGGAGAATAGTAGTGTAGGAGCCATATGTCGCCTTCCCTCACTTGGCGAAGAGAAGAAAGGAGACGATAGTAACTTTATACCTACTTGTTTCTACCTAGACTGTACTACAGTCACTTCAGTAGTAGCCAAGGACAACTCGTTCATGTTCAACATGTCACATCACATTCAGAGAGCACATGGGCTGAGTTCATTCACATCGTATTCATTAACCAGACAAGAGCTTTTCATCGCGCACAAAAACAGGCAAGGTATATAGAGAAAAAAAAGGAACTTCATTTGATACACAGCTCATAGGAGGAACGTCCCGAAAACCCTTTCTTTACTCTATACACAGGCCATCGTTTCCGTCCCGATTTTGAACTCCCGCATTAAACGCTTAAGCCTGGCCCTCAAGCTCAGCAAGAATCTTCTCACCCTTGGCGCGAGCAGAGGCGAAGTCGCCAACCATGTAGAAGGCACCCTCGGGGAGGTCATCACCCTCACCAGCGAGAATGGCCTTGAAGGAGGCAATGGTGTCCTTAAGGTCAACGAGCTTACCCTCGATACCAGTGAAGACCTGAGCGACAGTGAAAGGCTGGCTGAGGAAACGCTGGATCTTACGGGCACGCTCGACGGTGAGCTTGTCGGCCTCGGAAAGTTCGTCCATACCAAGAATGGCAATGATATCCTGGAGGGACTTGTACTCCTGGAGGATCTGCTGGACGCGGGTGGCGGTCTCGTAGTGCTCCTGGCCGACAATACGGGGGTCGAGCATACGGGACTTGGAGTCAAGGGGATCGACAGCGGGGTAGATACCCAACTCAGAGATACCACGGGACAAGACAGTGGTGGCGTCAAGATGGGCGAAGGTGGTGGCGGGGGCAGGATCAGTCAAATCGTCAGCAGGGACGTAGACGGCCTGGACGGAGGTAATGGAACCCTTGGTGGTGGTGGTAATACGCTCCTGCATCTGACCCATGTCGACGGCGAGAGTGGGCTGGTAACCGACGGCAGAGGGAATACGACCGAGAAGAGCGGACACCTCAGAACCGGCCTGGGTGAAACGGAAAATGTTGTCAATGAAGAGCAACACTACAGACTGCGTTAGCAACGGTTTTCCTTCAAGCGGCATAATTTCTCCAGAGCAACATACCATCCTGACCCTCCTCATCACGGAAGTACTCGGCAATGGTAAGACCAGTAAGGGCGACACGGGCACGAGCTCCGGGGGGCTCGTTCATCTGACCGAAGACAAGAGCGACCTTGGAGTCACCGTCGAGCTGAATGACGGAGGTCTCCTGCATTTCGTGGTACAGATCGTTACCCTCACGGGTACGCTCACCGACACCGGTGAAGACGGAGTAACCACCGTGAGCCTTGGCGATGTTGTTGATGAGCTCCTGAATGAAGACGGTCTTGCCGACACCAGCACCACCGAAGAGACCAATCTTTCCACCACGAGCGTAGGGGGCGAGGAGATCGACGACCTTGATACCAGTGACGAGAATCTCGGCAGTGGTGGACTGCTCAACGAACTCGGGAGCCTCGGCGTGGATAGGGCGGAACTTGTCGGTCTTGATGGGACCGCGCTCGTCGATGGGGTCACCAGTGACGTTGATGATACGGCCAAGGGTGGCAGGGCCGACACTACACTTTTGCGTCAGTAAAACAGCTCCATTCGCAGTTGCTTGTCCGCGTTTCGCGGTAAGCAAAAAACTGGGGAAACCCACGGGATGGTGATGGGAGCACCAGCTAGAAGATCATGTCAGCGAATCTGGCCAAAAACCTTGATCTTGAGGATCAAAAGAGAAGCTTACTGTCGGAGGCCTTGGCACCACGAACGAGACCCTCAGTACCGTCCATGGCAATGCATCTCACGACGTTCTCGCCGAGATGTTGCTGCGGGGCTGGTTAGCGCATTCGCTCAGCTACACTAATCCCGCTGGTCGTCCTCGGGGTTGATGAGGCCATTTTTTGTTCCACGTACCGAGACCTCGAGGACGAGCTTCTGGCCATTGTTCTGGGTCTCAAGGGCGTTGAGAATGGGAGGGAGCTTGTCGGTATCGAACTTGACTGTTGGGCGGAAGCGGGGTCAGTATAAAGAGCGAGCGTCGTGACCGGGCGGCAACGGAGCCACGGCGCGGGCGTAGTTGGATGTTGTTGATATTACTGACCATCGACGACGGCACCTGTGGGGAGAAAGTAGCGCGGTTAGCAAAGCAAGGTTTTCATGAAGCCGGTATATCCCGGGAGCATGTCGTCGACGGGTAGGGTTGGGTCCCGGGTCCCGTGTCGTCGAGGTTGGGCGACGAGGACATGTCGTGCCCGAGAAGGGAGATGCTTACCAATGACCTGGTAGATCTTGCCATCACCAACACCGGCGGAGCTGGCGAATCTGCTGAGGGCAGGGGCAC